AGTGCTATCCTCATTTTTGAGGGACATTGTGGCTGTACTTCTTCCAAGATGGGTTTGTTCATCCTTCTGGTAGTCCATGGTACATCAATACTCTTCACTCACAATGAAAAGGAGTCTTCTTGTGAAGTTCCTATTCCTTGTCCAACTTTGACACGTGCATACAATGCCATCACACATGGTTTGGGTCAGGCACGTCTTAGTCCTCACGTTGACATCTGAGCTTCTGCACACTTTACCAAGAGGTCTTTGGCAGCAGATCTGCCCAACGTTGTACACCCTTTGCTTTGTGAACTTCTGTCTCCATGGGCATTGATTCTGGAACCAAGCAAACTGAAATCCTGGACAACTTCCATACGTTCTTCATTTATCATGACATTGCTAATGGATCCCATTGTGAGGATTGTTGTTTTCTGTTCATTGCATTGTAATCCATTCTGAAGGCTGTGGCCCGATTTCCATCAGGAATGGCTTCTGGCCCTCCTCACTCTAACTCATGTCATCAGCATGTCACAGGTTGCTAATGAATCTTCCTCCAATCATGATGCATGTTCTTCTTCACATAGTGCAGCTTTTTGGATTATTTTCTCATCAAAGAGATTGAATAAGTATGATGAAAGAATACAACTTTCATGGATATCTTTCCCAATTTTAAACCACGTGAGTCCCCCTTGTTCTGTTTGAATGACTACATGTTGGTCTACGTACAATTTTGCATGAGCACAAGTGAGTGTCTGGAATCCCCATTCTTCTAGATGTTGGTTATAATTTGCTATGAGCTGTATGATTCAATGCCTTTGCATCGTCCATGAAACACAAGTCAACATCTTTCTTGTGGTCTCTACTTTCCACCAAGATCCATCCAACATCAGCAATGATATTCTCCCTTCCATGTCCTCACATCTCAATCTGGCTTGGGTGTCTGGGGGTTCCTTTTCCATAGACTGCTACAACCACTTTAGAATGATCTTCAGCAAAATTTTATTTGCATGTGGTATTCATTATATTGCCCAAAGATTTCCACATTGTGTTGGATCATCTTTCTCTTTTTTTTAAATCGTTTTATTAGGGGCTCATCTTTCTTTGGAGTGGGCACAAATATGGATCTCTGCCAATTGGTTGGCCAGGGAGCTGTCTTTCCAGGTTGTTGGCATAGACAAGTTAGCTCTTCCAGAGCTGCATCCGTTTCCTTAAACATTTCAGATTGCTCTTCCATCAATTTCTGGAGTCTCTGTTTCTGCCAATGCCTTTAATACAGCTTGTTGGTTTTTTGATCATATGAAATGGTTGAACATGAACCAACTTTTCTTTTGTATATACAGTGACTCAGTATATTCCTTAGTAGAGTCCTCCCATCTCCTTTTGTTACTTCCTGTGCTGTTCAAGAGGACCCTTGGGGCCCTAGTGGTTATTAGTTGGGTTGCTAACCTCCAGTTCAGCAGTTGAAACCACTAGCCACTCCGAGGGAGAAGGATGAGCCTTTGTACTCCTGTAAAAAATTACAGTCTTGGACACTCACAAGGGTAGTTCTACCCTGCCCTATAGGGTCGCCATGAGTTGACATTGACT